TATTGAACTAGGGAACATAGGACCTGGGGAACGTAGATACGCTCCCCCGGGCTGTCAGATCACAGAGAATTCGGAACGAGGCGCGGCTGGGTCCCCCGCTGTCACATCAGAGACGCCCCCGCTCGTTTGCCGAGCATCGCCCCCGGTTCCCCCCGAAAATAACGAGCAGACGCCCCGTCCCGCGGGACGCGGGAGGCCCCCCTGCAGAGATCGTTTGGCTTTTCGACAGAATCAGGGCCCTGGGGAGGGGGGTGTCCCCCGGCAAACGGGACCCCGCCCTGGTTTTAACGAGACGGCCGGGTTCATTATTTCTGTGTTTCTCCCTCTCTGTCTGTCTCTCTCTACACACACACACACACACACACACACACACACACACACACACACACACACACACTCTTTCCCTAAATCACTCCAGGCCTCTATAATATATCTACAATTGTGTGCCTGTAATAATATCCACGTCTATAACTCATTACATTACATTATTAGCGTTTAGCCCCTACTCATTACATTACATTACATTATTAGCATTTAGCCCCTGCTCATTACATTACATTACATTATTAGCATTTAGCTCCTGCTCATTACATTGCATTATATTATTAGCATTTAGCCCCTGCTCACTTCATTACATTATTATTATTAGCATTTAGCCATTACATTACATTATTAGCATTTAGCATTATTATTACATTATTAGCATTTAGCCTCTACTCATTACATTACATTATTATTAGCTTTTAGCCCCTACTCATTAGATTACATTATTAGCATTTAGCCCCTTTACATGACATTTTAGCCCCCAACTCATTAGATTACATTACATTATTAGCATTTAGCCCCTGCTCATTAGATTACATGACATTATTAGCATTTAGCCCCAACTCATTAGATTACATTACATTATTAGCGTTTAGCCCCTACTCATTACATTACATTGCATTATTAGCATTTAGCCCCTGCTCATTACATTACATTATATTATTAGCTTTTAGCCCCTACTCATTATGTTACATGACATTATTAGCGTTTAGCCCCCACTCATTACATTACATTACATTATTAGCGTTTAGCGTTAGCTCTTATCCAGAGCCGCTTACACAGGTTATATTGGTAAAGTGTTAGGTGTTCCTCAGTTGTTAGTTTTAAAGTCTTTGAACCAGTGTGTGTTCTGTTCTTAAGTTGTTTTAAAGTCTTATACATTATGACAGATAGATAGATAAATAGATTGACAGATAGATAGATTTTATATTATATTATATTATATGACATATTATATTCTGCTATATAATGGAATGTTAAATATTATCTTAAACTGTGTGTTGGAATCAGTGTGGAGTCACTCTGTGGGCATGTAGCAACAGCACCCCCTTTAGGTCACCTTTTAAAGTAGACATTATGATTATTAAAAGAGATATTAAAAAAGAGATGGCCATTTTATTATGATTATTAAAAGAGATATTATGGTTAATAAAGGAGAGATGGCCATTTTAAAGGAGATATTATGATTATTAAAAGAGATATTATGGTTAATAAAGGAGAGATGGCCATTTTAAAGTATTATGATTATTAAAAGAGATTATGATTAAAGGAGATTAAATTAAAAGAGATATTAGAATTATTACATTTTTAAATGAAGATTATCATTTTTAAAGAAGAGATTGCTATTATTAAAAGAAGGATTATGATTGTTAAAAGCTATTTAAAGCTTCTTTTTTCAGCTATTTGGATATATTATACATATATATCTCACCTTTACGCACCATTATGTCACAAATTACGAGACCCCACACACACCCGGTTACAGCACGTCGAGTTTAATCCACACCGAACTCCAGAAGATGCAACTCTTACAAACTCAGTCTTAAAGGATCTGTCTTTATAACGCTGATCTGGGGTCAGTTCTCGAAGCTACAGCAGCAACGCTCTCCCCCCCGGTCAGGGGTCTAGATCCAACCCAATACCGGGTACAGGAAGGAAAAAATGCTAAATGTAAATGTAGCTCCTTGAGGGTTCTTATCTGTTTGCGGCAGGGAGGTAACAGCTAAGATTAGCATTAGCGGTGTAGTCATCTCTTACCGTATCAGCCACTCCCATTCCTCTATAAGCCACTCCTCTTCCTCTATAAGCCCCACCCCTCTTGATCACTCCCACCATCTCTAAGCCACTCCCCTTTTGCTATATACCCCTCCCACTTTCTCAAAACCACTCCCATTGCTCTGTAAGGACCTCCTCTCTCACTCTCTCCCACTTCTCAAAACCACTCCCATTCTTGTATAAGCCCCTCCCTTCCTCTCTAAACCCCTCCTCTCTTCCCATAAGCCCCTCCCCCACCCTCAAAGCTCCTCCTCCTCCGGCTCCCTCAGTCCCTGGCTGTGAAGGGTCTTCCCGGTCATCTCCATCATGGCCTGGGTCTCCGGGTCAGCGTCCAGCACGCTCCTCTTCACCGATGTCTGCAACGCAGTTATCAAAGCGTGACAAAAGTCAGCGCCTTCTC